AATAAGCCAGTCAGAGAAAGATAAATATCACATGATCTCACTCATTTGTTAATTATAGAGAACAACTTAGACTGAGGAAAAGGGACAGACCCAAAGACTGAGAAACAGCGATCAGGTTATCAATCCCCAGAAGGGAAGTAGGGGAGGGCGAGGGTAAGGGGAAGAGATCAACCGAAGGACTTGTATACATGTATATAAGCCAAACCAATGGACATGGACAACAGGGGGATGGGAGCATGAGTGTGTGTGAGGGGGGAGGTTGAGGGTTAATGGGGGGGGGGATAAGGACAAATTTGTAATACCTTAACTAATTTAAAAAATATATATATATAATTTTTTAAATTGTATGTCGTCAGTCAACAGTGACTGACGCAGTACAGACAGAAAGTATAGTGTCAGTCACCAGTGACTGACATGGTGCTTAATGTGTTAAACCAGCGTTCACAAGTATCTTGAGATGGAGCATGTTCACCATAAGCTTTCTGAAGTATACGATAACTTTCAGCAGCACTTTTCTTCAAAATAATGAATTAAAACTTCCCGCAAATGCTCTTTTTTGGCATGAAATTTGACATTTTTAAGCGTAAAAATATCTATGATGTTAAAGTGTAAAAATATCTATGATGTTAACACCTTCAGCAAATTTGACATATGAAGTTTTGAAGCTTGTTGTCAATACAACAAAACAGCATACATATCAAATTGCATATATATCAACATATATGTAACTCCATCTATTGAAAAAAATCCGCATTAGTAACCGGTACACCTAGTATACACAAAGGAATACTACTCAGCTATAAAAAAAGGAGGAAATAGCACCGTTTGCAACAAGGATGGACCTTGAGAACATTATGCTAAGTGAAATAAGTCAGAAAAAGCTAAGCACCATTTCACTCATATGTGGGATCTGAAACTTGTGAACACAAACAGCAGTGTGGTGGTTGCCTGAGGGGAGGGGGTGGAGGCGAAGAGGTTCCTAATATACGGCAGCAAAAGATCTGACTTTGGGTGGTGGGCACACGGTGCAATATACAGATCTTGTAACATAAAAATCCACTCCTGAAACCTGTATGTTCATGTTGACCGTCACCCCAATAAATTTAATAAAAAAATAAAGATCCTGCCCTAATCAGTTTGGCTCAGTGGATAGAGCGTCGGCCTATGGACTGAAGGGTCCCAGGTTCAATTCTGGTCAAGGACATGTACCTGGGTTGTGGGAACATCCCCAGTAGGGGGTGTGCAGGAGGCAGCTGATCGATGTTTCTCTTTCATCGATGTTTCTAACTCTCTATCCCTCTCTTTCCTCTCTGTAAAAAATCAATAAAATATATTTAAAAAATAAAGATCTTGAATAGATATTTATACATCAATATTCACTGTAGCATTATTCACAACAGTCAAAGGGTGGAAAACCCCCAGATGTCAATTAACATGTGAATAAAGTGATTATATATAGATTACATATATAATGTATACCCACAGAATGAAATATCTTTCAGCCTTAAAAAGAATAAAATCTTGTCAAATGCTATAACATGATGAACACGGAGAGCATTATGCTAAGTGACATAATCCAGCCATAAATGAACAAATATGAATTAATCCACTTCTAGGAGGTATCTATAATAATCAAATACTTAGAGCAATTAGAATGGTGGTTGCCAGTGGTGAGCGAGGAAAAAGAGGAGTTGTTCAATGTTTATAGAATGTTTTGGCAGATTAAAATGTTCTAGGTGCTGTTGAAAACCAGCATGCATATAGCTAACACGACTATGCTGTACATTTACAAAGGTTAAGATGGTACATTTTATGTTATATGCACTTACATATACTATTTCAAAAAAATAAGTAGGCACCTCAATACAAAAATTTAAAAAAATTATAGACAGTATGACAATGGTTCATTAAGTAGAGAATATTATTAAGATAGAAATTATAAACAATAAGTAAATGAAAATTCTGGAGTTGAAAGTACAAAAATTGAAGTGAATTAAAAAAGAGGGCTCAGACTTGAGTTTGCAAAAGACAGAATTAGTGAACTTTGAGATGTATCAATACAGGTGATCCAATCTAAAGAAAAAAATTAAGAGAACTGAACAGAACCACGGGGAATTGTGAGACACCAACATACATACTAACATACAGGTAAATGGGAGTCCCAGAAAGTGAAAGAGATTAAAAGTATTTGAATTGCTGAAACCGGTTTGGCACAGTTGATAGAGCGTCGGCCTGCGGACTGGGAGGTCCCGGGTACGATTCCGGTCAAGGGCATGTGCCTGGGTTGCGCGCACATCCCCCAGTGGGAGATGTGCAGGAGGCGGCTGATCGATGGTTCTCTCTCATCGATGTTTCTAACTCTCTGTCTCTCTCCCTTCCTCTCTGTAAAAAATCAATAAAATATATTTTTAAAAAAAGTATTTGAATAATGGCCAAAATTTTCCTAAACATGATGAAAAACTAACATACATATCCAATGAATTCAATCAAGTTCAAAGGTGAACATGAAGAGTTCCACACCTAGACATATTATAGTTAATCTAATAAAAAGCAAAAGAGAATCTTGAAAGCAGCAAGAGAAAAACAACTTATTACATACAGGGGAACCTCAGTAAGATTAACAACTGACTTCTCGTTAAAAACAGTGGGGGTCTTGGCCAGTGTGGCTCAGTTGGCTGAGCACTGTCCCATGCACCAAATGGTTGCCTGCTCGATTTCCAGTCAGGACACATGCCCAGGTTTTAGGCTCGATCCCCAGTAGGGGGTATGCATGAGGCAACCAATCAATGTTTCTCTGTCTCCCTTACTCTCTAAAAATAAAAATCAATAAAAACATAAAAGATAACCACCAGTGGAGGGTAAAGTTATTTGGATAACATGCTTAAAAAGCTAAAAGGAATAAAAACTGGCTAAGTCTGTAACTAGCAAAACTACCCTTCAACAATGAAGATGAAATAATATTCCTAAATATACAAAACTGGCAGAATTTGCTGCTAGCAAGTTTTACTTACAAGAAATACTAAAGGACTAAGAGAAATTGAAACCAGATGAAAACCCAAATCTACATGAAGAAATAAAGAGCATGGTAAGTATAATTACATAGGTAGACATAGAAGAGAGTATCAATAACATTTTCTTGACTGATTTAAAAGCCAGCCACATAAAACCACCATTATAAAATTGTATTGTTGGGATTACAACATTATATATATATATATATATATATATATATTCACTAATAGCACAGAGAGAAGAGGGAGGAATGGTTCTATTTTGGAGAAAGGAAATGACACTAGGCAGTAATGTGAATCCAGAGGAATGCCTCCTTCTCTTGAGAAATATACTAAATTACCGTATTTGCCGGCGTATAAGACGATTTTTTGGCCCTGAAAAATATGCCTCCAAGTGGGGGGTCGTCTTATACGCCAGGTACACTTCAGATAGACTGCCCATAGTGCTTGCCCCGTGCCATAGTGGCCTCCCGATGCCCGCCCACTTCATTCCACATACCGTTCAGGCATCAGCAGCGCTGCTGGGTGTATGCTCGGCTGTTATGCGATTTT